ATTATTTCTTCACTAAAAAAACACATACAATGTGCAACTGGATTAGGAAGTGAGTAAAATGACGTAACAAACATTCGAAATTACAAAATATTGAAAATTCTAAATGTATTTAGGGCACTTAATTTGCATATATTTGAAACGAAATAATTACACACTATGCAAGAACAGAAATTGAATTTTCCTTTTCATTGATGTTCTCACAATAGATAAAGGAAACAAGGAATTTTCCTTTTATTTATTACAATTTGATTGTGTGAACTGGAAAAAGACAATTTGAAACGTGCAAATTGCCCCGGAAATGGATATATCGGTAAATAACACACTACCCGGTCTCGGTTTATGATCATTAAATGTATATTCAAGTAACTTTTAACGTTGTTACGTAAATTTAAGGTGAACACGATTCTATTTAGCCTCGTTTTACTTTATTATTTTCACTTATTACTGTTAACGGCCCTAAATACCTCCTTTAGAGTGTAATTAATTAAAAAAATATAAGGTGAATGGAAATTGAAACGCGGTAGTTGATTTAAAATGTAAATTACGAGGACAAAAAATAGAATAAATAAGTAAATTACATTGATGATTAAACAGACTTTTTTAGGTGAATTTTATGAGGTGAGTTGTAATGTTTATTTTTAATTGATTCTAAACAAGGTTTATTTCGCTTTATGATCTATTAGACGTGGCATTTAAAAAACCAATTTGTCGAATTACAATTTTTAATGATTTTGTTGATTTTATTTTGAAATTACAAAATATTAAGTAACACTTATTAAATTTGAGAAAGTCGAATCCAGTTAAATTTCATTTTTCTTAATCAAAAAACTATGTGTAAAAAAATAGAGGAAACATTGTTCTGATTTCGATTTCTTTTATTCAAAATGTACCAGTTTTGATCAATAGTATCACACATAAAGAATTACTGAAAAGACTATATTCTTTTACAAGTTTTTGAAATTTTGTAAGGTTTTTTCTACCTCGAGCTAAGCAGTTCAGATTTGTCATTAAGTTTTCCATATCAAATTGATTAATTTAGACGGAGTAAACAAGTATTCTTATTTTCCTTTTAAATATTGAAACTCATCAGCACTGTAATCTAAATTCTTATGTCTTAAGTTAATGAGTTCCAAGACTCAGAAGGAAATTTAGAACCATAGTTGCTTACTGAGTCTATATCAATCAATTTGAAACATTGAAAAACAAAATTGCTCCCTTGAACATTTAATTACCTATATTGGATAACATATTGATAAGATAACATTTTTTTGTGCAATGGGATAATTTAGTCAATTCCTATAATATTGCTTTTGTTGGCATTCGTAAAATCATGTTAGATTCTGATTCTGAGACAAAAATGATATAGTTTGTGGCTGATATAATATTCAGACTGCTGAGAGATTACAAACTCAGATATAATCAAATATATGTTTCTACCACCATATTGGGTGATGTTAGTGATAGTTGGAAGAATGGTTTTTGCTAGTCAAATTCAATAAAATATACACTTGGTATTTTTATTTAATTACATCACATAAACTTTTAAACTTAGATGAAATCATTGATTCTTGGGAAATACTTTAAATGGCGCATTACATTATATGTTTTCTTGCTGTGTCTACCTCATTCTTCCCTTTTTTGATGCTCTTCCTTCTTTCGCAACGCGCTCAATGCATTTTTTTGTACTACAATATTTGCAGAAATTTCAATAATTTTAGAACCGGATGTAAGTATTTCTTTTAGTGCCGTTTTCCAGATGGCGAAATTGATAATTTGATCGTTATTTTATGTAAATCCGCCTATACAACATTGCAACAAATTATTATTACTAAGGTTGTCAGAAATGGGCTTGATTGCAGTCAGAACTACCTCAAGAATTGTTACATAATTGCGTTTGTATCCATTCTATTTTTAACCCACATTGGCTTTTTGCCATCCAACACTAAGAATCTCTGATCTGAGGTGTAATAGTAAAACGTAGCTCATATAGCTATTCTGAATCACAGTTTCTGAAGATTTGTAAGCCATAGTATATGGTTAATTTGTCAATTATTTTTCTTGTTCGTTTTTTCCAATCATTGCTATATAGTTTGTATCGACGATACCTAGATCGTGAAACATTTCTTTTACTGCATTCCATATTCCCAATAGATGTCTCATGATTATTTCATGATGGTTTCAATTCATCATATTCAGCGGTGTTTTCTCTGGATATCGAATATTCGCAATGGTATGGTGTGAGACTTGAATCAGTGTCTGTGTTTCTTTATGCATTGATCTTCTTATGTGCTTATAGTAATCTTCTTCTCTTTGCGCAATGTTGTTCTTGCATTCTTTGTTGAACCATTTTGTTTTCCCTTTTTCTACTACTCCCAAGATTTCTTTGGCAGTAGTGTACTAGTTGTTGGAAGTCCATTCCACTATTTACCAATGGTGCTGTTTTTGTTCGAAGTTGTTTCCAGTACTTGTGAACTTCTTTTCTCCACTAATTGTATCACTTGTTATTTAGGTTACCTATGTTCAGTTTTTCTAATTTTAGACCACCGTGTATTGGTCGTTTACAAATTCTGCATCCAAATATCACATACACCAAGATGGACAGACAGCATGCTCCGGTTCTGACCCTTACAGAATACTCGTTGCTGTTTTTCTATGTATTAACAGGTAATTCAGATAGCTTTATGTATCTTCTTATGTAGGAATGGTGTTGAACTGACAACCATACTCCTGTTTATAGCAAAAGGTATTAAGAACAGTGGTTCTGTCATGGAGGCTATGTTTTCCTATTATTCCTAAGTGCTCATCTTTTTTTCCCACTTTTCATTCATGTTTCGAATCATTATTGCGATGTATTGAAATTTTTAGGTGAAGAATTGATGGTTCTATACGCAATAGTTACAAAAGCAAATAACTCGTGTCCATTTTTTAAATTTTCTTAAAGGTACCCACACTCATTGCCTCTTATTCCGCCTATTCTTGTTTTTTGACAGAGTCTTCTTCTTCTTGATATCTTTTTTTTTTGTGAGTTCCTCGGGTTGATGTTTAACGCGAACTCTGTCGTGGTTTCATTTTTGTAATAACAGCAACAATTGGTCGTCTCAACAATCAGGTTTACTAAGGTATTGTCTAAGATGATGTGAATTTCAATTCTAAATGCTTATTCTTCTTCCTCTTAATAGGGAGTATAGGGATATTTCTGTGCGTTCTGTTGTTGTGATATCGATATTCATGAGTCAGCCACCGTTTTGAGGGTATTTTCAGTGGTTTGTTACTGTGCGGTTCCTCAACTTTGGCGATCTTTCACGTTTACCGAACATCTCGTATCCCACTCTTTATTGTCGTGAAAGTTGATCATCCACGTTAACATTCGCATCTCAGTCGTCCTCAAAACATGTTTCATTTGTTGTGTTTGTCCTTGTCTCAGTCTCGTATGTCATGATTGTGGATATGGTTTTGTTTTTCCATACTACATGTCGATATAAACAGTTAAATAACATAACTTATTTTAAAGTCTTCTCGTTTACTGCGAGCTTTCAACATATGGGGTCTTTGGTGGTAGTCATTGATTTTGCTTTTGATATTGTTATCTCTTGTGTTACATTGGTTGACCTATTGGTAGAATTTGTTAAGTAACTGCTGCAGATTATTTACACTGTAGGCGATGGGTGCTGCCTCATCTGCAGTTTTCTATTCTGCTATTTCTTTAACATTCTAGATGATTTTGTCCATAAACAAGCAAGGATTTACGCTGTGTCACATCAATACAGCAATGATACTAAAATACAGTTTTTTCAGGTTGTATGACCAAATTAAGCCGAGGCAGCTTGCGGCCGAGGCGCTACATTGATACCATTATGACAAAAATAGGCAGTTTTCAAAGATTATTTTCTAATTAAGCCGAGGTCGCTTGCGGCCGAGGCATTATATCTATGCAATAACGATACAATATTACAGTTTTACAGACTGTATGAAGAAGTAAGTCTAGGTCGCCAGTTACACCACGCTGACAAAAAATGAGATGTTTTCAAAAATTTATTTCCTAATTAAGACGACGTCGCTTGTGGGCAAAGTACTACATTGATACCACACCGACAACAAAATGGGCAGTTTTAAACGATTTATTGCCTAATTAAGTCGAGGTCGTTTACAGCCGTGGCACTACATTGATATTATTTCGACAACAAAATGAGCAGATGCAAAAGCAACTCAAAGTAGCTCTCCGCTTTGATTGATTCAGTGGTTGTTTCACTCTAAGGATAATACCATTTTTGATCTGGCGTTGAAATCTCTCATCAGCAGGAGTTGGTGTTGTTTCAAGATGTTTTCTATTAGGTCCTGGAGCTGGTTATAAAAATACTATATTTCTTCCTTTGATTTAGTGATGTTAGGTGCATATACGCTAATAAAATGAAATGGATGTTATCGGCTGCTTTTATTCTGAATACAACGTGTAGTAGTCGGTCGTAAACCTTATCCACTTTGCGAAAGATGACCCCAATACCTCCGCCCCAACCGTTAGTTGGTTTTTTTACTCACTCGGGAGTGTGTAAGCCCTTATTTAACATACAAACATAACTTTTATTTTATTTTTCGCCAGATCTTTTGTGTGATGTACAGTGCACCACGTGTTTGGTATCAATCTTGATGATTTTAAAGATAGTGATGCAAATTATTTTCCTCATTAAATCATAGCGCTAGAGCTAAAAGCAATTGTTTTATATTTGTTTTTACAGTTTAAAAAATTTTATTTTATCACCGCATCTGTCGTTTTCTTAACCTTTCTCCTCTCTTTTCAGCTCCTTTTCGAGGTAAATCGGTCACCTTCCCAACGGTACTCTTGATCCAACCCATCCATTTTCGATCTTTGATCGAACCTCGATTTCAAAAGATAAACATTTCAAGCAAAAACAAAAAAGTTTTGTTTTTTACATTCTTTTTTTCTTTTTTTCTTCTTTTCTTCATATCGCACCTTTTTATTTCCTGCTTTTATTTTTTGCCTTTTGCGCTTTCGTTTTCCTCCGTTGTTGTGTCCAAGTTGTGACCTTGAAGCGCGGCCGCCTTCGTCGTCGTCGCCGCTTTTTTTACTCCTTCCCCTTCTTCTGACCACCAGCATCTACGGTTCCTATGGTTACGTTACAACCATTATATTGTCTTTAGTATATCATGAGTATATCCCAGAGAGCGTTCCAAGACGGGTTCTTGTGCCGTTGACAGTTATTATACAACAACAGCTGCTGTTTATTGCTTATCTTTTTTTTCTTCTTACAAACGATTGAAAAAATATGGATGTTTTGATGGATTTATGAAGTTTTATTTAAACTTTTATTAAGTGTTTCTTTTAAATTATAAGTTAATTTTTGTTTTTTAACTGAGGTGAGTTTTTAATTTAAAATTTTGGGGGGAAAATCAAAAACTTGATTTAAAAGTTTTTGTTTTGCTTTTTAGAAAAATGGAACACAACTTACAAATAATCGTCTTATTTTTGTTCGTATTTAAAACATTTGGACAACTTGAGAATAATTGTATAACAAAGCAAAGCATTTTAGGGGGCGAACATTTAATTTGTTTAAATGTTTCGGCTTCTTATTTCCAATATTCCGGTTTAAAGTTAAATAAATCCCATTGGGTCACTTGCGTTGGATGTAATTTAAATGTAATTAAAGAAAATACGTTTAATTTTCCAAAAAATAATGTTAGTTATTTAAATTTTACTCAAAATAATGTTTTGTCAATCGAGCCGTACTCTTTTAGTCGCTTTCATTTATTGAAGTATTTAAATTTAAAAGAAAATTTAATTGAATATTTAGATACGAAAGTTTTTGTTGGTTTAAGACGTTTATTGCATTTAGATTTAAGTAAAAATCGGTTTAAAATCGTTCGAAGTAATACTTTTGCTGAATTAGAAAGCTTGGATATATTGAATTTAAATTCAAATAATATTAGTTATCTACATAATGACGCTTTTGTTGGTTTAATTAATTTGAAGTATTTGTATTTAAACCGAAATAAAATTAAAAATTTATTAGCCGATAGTTTTAAGCACTTAAATAATTTAAAAATTTTATACTTAGAAGAGAATAAAATTAAAGATATACACCCAATAGCTTTTAATAACTTAAAAAATTTAAATTTATTATATTTAAACGATAACGCAATTTCTTATTTAGTGCAGTATAATTTTAAACAATTAACAAGCTTAGTTGATTTGCAATTACGTAATAATAATTTAACCGAGATCCAAACATCAAGTTTTAATGGTTTAACTAATTTAAAATTTTTATATTTAGGACGTAATCATTTAAAAACGATACAACCATACGGTTTAATCGGTTTAAATTCGTTATTAATTTTAGATTTAATCGGAAACGATTTCGATGAATTCAATTTAGACCATTTCAAAAATATGTACAGCTTAACAACTATTTGGTTGGAAAAAAATCAAATAAAAAATTTAACCATCGAAAAAAACAACGATTTTATGTTGTCAATGAAAACGTTGGATATTATAGATAATCAATTAAAAAATTTTGATTATAAATTAATTTTGAAAAAAATGCCTAATTTACAAGAAGTATTAATCGGGGGAAATCAATTTGATTGTGAGTTTTTCGTCGAAATGAAGGAATTTTTTCAAAATAGGAACGTTTCCGTTTGTTTGAACGGTAAATGTAACCAGCTAGAAACGGAGAATTTCGTTAAAAAGACTTGTCACAATGTTATTTTAACAAGTAAGAAAGAAAAAAAAGTTGAAAGTGACCAAGAAAATTTTATTAACTTCGAAAACGAACATGTAATTGAAGATATTTCGTTAGATTTTTCAACGGATTCTTCTAATTTCGTTAAAATTGATTTAACGTTAATGATTATTTCGATTTTTGCTTCAAAATGCTTGTTTTAGAATTAGATTTCCTTTGTTAAATTTTTTTCTACAATCCCAAATACAAAAAGTATTAAGAAATTGGATTGTAGAGAAACTATAATATGCATCTCGGCAGTAAAACGTTTTTATTGAGTTGTTTAAATATAACTTTACTGCCCTGATACATAAATTACTATTATTAACTTTGTTTTTTTTTGTTACTTAAATGCCTGTGATCAAACAATTTTTTGTACAGTTTCCTTTTTAATTAATTTATTTATTACAAAAAAAGCCACAAAAACATTAATTCGCCTTACGCTACTTTGTAAAAAAATAATTGTTGCTTTTTTTAAATTAGATTTTAATATTGTAAATAATGTGTTGTTTTAATAAAAGAATAAATTATTTAAAACATTTACATCTTTTTTGTATAAGCAGATTACTCATCAATTTTTAAATTCTAAGCAACAAAATGGTTTTAAAAGGCGTAGGAGGAATATGTAGGTGGAAAAAAACGGTAAGTTTTTTTTAATCTTTTAAAAATTTCCTTCTAAACTGCGAAATGAATATTTTATCGGATTTATTTCAAAATATCCTTTGCAAAGATTTCAAAGAAAAATTTAAAAATAGGTTCTAAACATGACATGACTTACTTGACTTATTTCCTGTCGCTCCTGGTGGAGCATAGGATCTCTCGCAACCAGATTCCTCCATCTAGTTCCATTGGCAGCAAGACGTATCACTTCTCTCCACGTTTCCCGGCTTCCATTACTTCTTTCTCAACAGTTCTCTTCCACGTCTTTCTTAGACGCTGACTCAATTGCTCCATGAGGCTCCTTCATCCAACACCATTTCCTCTCTTTGCCTTGGTCACTAATGAGCTGTTGGTTTGCTCTCTCCTAAAAGTCTTTTTTGGATATCACCTCCAGTCACCTCAAATTGTTGGATATTATCTTGGTGACCTTCCATATTTTTTGAGGACTGACTGTATGTTGTTGTTTTTCAAAATGAAAAAAGCTTCGATTAGCTTTTTTCATTTTGAAGGCCCAATTTGCTCTCTGTATTTGTTTCTTCCCATCCTCCTCTGCACCAATGTTTCAACTGGTTCCAAGTCTCATTAGATTTATAATTGAGGTGTGTATAGTGTGAAGTACCAGGAGTAGGTGTAGTAAGAAGACAGTACGTGGGTAAAAAACGTTTCTATAAAAGGTAAAAAGTAAGTAATACAAAATATCAAGCAAAAAGCTTTTTACAGAAAGGGGTAGAGAGAAATAAAGGATTTTTCTAAATAAAAGAAAACCAACAAGACCTAATTTACTGCAAAGTGTCAAAAATTGATACGCTGAAGATTTTAATTGGGAAACTGATAGATGAAGTATCGTAGAAAGGTCATCCATAGATTGCGAAACAGGATTGGTACCTAACGAGTGCATCTAAATTGAATTAGAAGACAATCAAAAAAGAAAGTAGAAAGGTAACATTTGACGATTTGACTTTCTCAACCTTACATTCTGAGGTTGCTGCCGATTGAGTGGAAGAATTTATTTCCAACTCACGGATAAAATGGAATTGGAAGTTGCGCTAAGAGAAATTCCTGAGGGTATCCAAGCAAAAGTAGATTAAGAAGATCTAAGGGAATGAGCTGCTAAAACTAGTGAACGTAGCCAAGATCGAAGGAGAGAAGAAATTGTGTGAAGTTAAGAAAGTATCAGTCAATTAATGGTGAAAACCGAACCCAAGAAGAAAAAGTTGGGTGCAAGCCAATGCTTTAAATACCAACTGTTCATATATGGCCAAAATATGGATGCAAATGTAGAGACCAATATTCTTATACTGAATGCATGAAGAAACAAATTAAGTAAATTAAGATAGATCATGCCCATCATAGACAAGGAGGTGGTCTAAAACTCATGCAAAAACTAATGAAAAGAAGTCTACATTCTGAACAACATACTCAACAACAAAAAAACTGTAGACGAAACGTTGATGCAGATGGTTTTCAAAATTCTTTAAGGATCCTTAAGATAATGGCATAGATAAAATGTCAAGTAAACCTACCAAGGACTTTTGCAAACAAAATAGTGAATTTGTTTATTATGATAACCTATCGTAACCCATGCAAGTCTGGTAAACTACTATAATATGCAACATGTATGCGCAGAAAGGTTCAGAACTGTTCGGAACTTCTTTACACTACCGTGTGTGTGAAAAGCACTCACCTACCTCAGAATTGTGTTACACGAAGGAAGCACAAGGCCGCAAACTAACTTATCTGGTAAGATGATCTGCTGGCAAAGATGATCAAATGCAATGTTAATGAAAATTTAATGAGAACAACGGCCTTCCTCTAAAGAGTAGGTATTCTTAGGTTAACATGGGGAATAAATCTTTGAGCCTATACTATATCTGTAGGTGTGCCAAAAACTAAAACGGTTGGTAGGTACAATTTTTTTTTTTTTTTTTTTTCATGGCACAATTGTATAACACCTAGTAAATAAATAGTAGTACTAATTAGCTACTTATTTTTAACACTGAATTAAACTAGATAATGTTTTGCAACTTTTCCCAGTGGTCCAGTCTGCTTTACCCATAATATAGATAAATGTCATATTTTTATTACTGGGCACTAGGTCACTAAATCGAACAGCTTCATCCTCTGAAGGCGACGCAGGACATCCTCGTTGTCGAGAAGCTGGATGGCCTCGATGTTGGGATGATCGTGCATTCTCTTCTCATGTTTAGATGCGAATGATGTAATTTCTGATGACACCGATGCTACTTTCAACTCGCGGTGGAGGTCGGTGTTTCTTATATACCAGGGTACATTTACTATGCACCTTAGTACTTTGTTCTGGAATCTTTGAATCAGATTTGTATTTGTCTTGCAGGTACAACCCCACAGTTGGATTCCGTATGTCCATTTTGGTTTTAATACTTGCTTGTGTATTAGCAACTTGTTTCTTAGTGATAGCATTGATTTTCTGCCAATAAGCCAATATAGGTGTCTAAATTTGATATCATTTGAGTTTGGCATCCATTTAAAATAGCGAAGTTATGGTCTACCTCTGACCATAACTATAGAAAATAGACATAACTCTAGAACAACCCATGCTACCAAAAGTTCAAATCTCTACCAATAGTGGAACCTGAAAAAGTTCTAACGAACCAGTTACGTGAGACACCTGTATATAAACTACATGCTAAAAAAAAGTTTTAAATTAACGCCACATTTAGTACTTTGTGTGCAATTTATCTGAAGAAGAATAGGAAACCGACATTTTTGAGGCATTTGGTTTTAAAAAAATAAAAGGAGACGATTAATTTACGATTTACTCGTGATAGGCAGTCAATATTATACGAGCATAGACTTAGAATATGAAAAGTTCAACTTTTATTGATGAATAAGAGGCGATACATTGCCTCATTCATAATAAATATGGTGAAAGAACACGGGATATAAAAGTGTGTTATGAAGTGGGAGTTTGCAAAAACAATTATGGAGATACGATTTCATTATCGACTAACACTTAATGCTTATCACAGTCAACAATTACAATATAGACAAGAAATACTTCAACATCTAATAAAACAGGAAGCAAAACGCCGTTTACGTATTACGAGAAATTGTTCTCTATAAAAAGTTCAGGGTCGTGTAAGAACTTATAAATTTTATTCTTCAAAAAATAGATCAGAACGCGTAATTTAAATTACTTTTAAGTTTAAACAATGACATATTTTTTTAGAATTTTATACAGAGCGAAATGTTTTTGTTAAAAATTAAGTTGTACTAATTCTACTGATTTCAGCATTTTTGATAAAAAATATTAATGCCGTCAAAAGTTAATACCTCAAAATTTAGATAAAGTGTAACTAATCTTTATATGATAAATAATTAAACGTTAACCTAAATTAAAATTAAAAAAATAAATTAAATTTTTAGTTTGTAAAGTTCCGGTAAATATCCGTTTGAGTCGTATGAAAAGTGATAGTTTATGTATAACCTCGTGAAACCTTGCGGTTAACATATTGGTTTGAAGGAAAGGATTTTTTCATTGTGGAGTTGCTTTACTTACGTAACATACAACTTTTTTTAAGCGATTCCTTTAAGGTCAGTTGGATTAATATAATTATTAATCACTACTAATAATCAAATTGCAACATTCTTTTGATAAAGACACAGGAAGTTAATGAATTCTAAGGATTTCTTATCGATTCTTATTCATACATTTTTTAGACACCTAAAATATATTAAAATATTAAATAAAAAAAATTAGTATCAATCCATAAATTGAAATTAATACAATAAAATTAAAAATTCGTTGTTTATCAAACTTTATTAACGAACGTCATTTAAATGAGAAAGAGATAAATTATTGAGATCAAAATACGTCTAGTAAGCGAATGTTGTCGCATTTATAAATTTCGGTTCGTTTAATCTCCAAGTTTACTTCCGACTAATTATTATTTGTGACGTTTAAATTTGCTGATAGTAAATTAGTTGAAAATTAAAGCGATAATGATGGTTATAACACAAATAATCATGAAACTGATCGTTTTTGCGCTCATTTTACAACACGTGAGTTCTTTAGGAATACGAAAGTGTCCCAAACAAGAACCCATCAAAGATTTTAACATCGACAAAGTAAGTCAAGAAAAAAATCAACCAAATAAAATTATGTGATGTTCATTATTTTAAGTTTTCTGGCCGTTGGTATGAAATAGAAAGAAGTTTTTACGTTTGGGAATTACATACAAAGTGTTTAAGTGTGGATTTACAATTAAAAAGGCCTGGGATTATTAACATTTCTGTTAACAGACTAAACAGATTGTAAGTAATGAAAATGATAATTTAAGTTTTTATGGTTAGGTGTTGAACATAGATGTTTAATTCGTTTTAAAGAGAAAATTTTAAGATTTTATTTGACATAAAATATGATTAAATAAGTAGTAGAAAATCTCACTGATTTGTTATTTATATTATCTATCAATAAAAACAATGAATCCACATGGTGTCTCGAAAATCTGCCATCTCCATTTATGTGTGTGCAAAAGATTTAGTGTTGTCTACGAAAAATTTCGTAATTAATTGCTCCTCGTACACCCTTCGAATTCACTTTGATTATATTGATCAGACTAAGAAGTAACCGAATACTAGAATATAGCTCAGAGGTATGCTAATCAGTTCATCGTCTTGTCAATAAGCACGACCTAAAGGTTTATCAATAAGTTATAAAAGTTAGTAGATAGTTTATGAAGTAGCTCTATTCGCATGTTTTTCCAATGTACTTGGTCGATGGCTGAGTGCTTATTTCTAAAACCAAACTGATCAGATGCTGTCAGGTTTCTTTTATTGAAAACAGGTTTGATGCAGTTCAAGATCAATTTCGCAAACAAATTTGACCTAATTAGTAATAGTAAAGTGGGTCAATATGATTCTACTTCGCTTAGGTTCTTCCCATGTTTTGAAATCATTATTTTATTTATTTTGCTCACTTTCCATGCCCCAGGAACATAGATTAACCGTATACACGCATTGATCAAAGTATTTGGTTTGACCAGAGTCTTCGTTTAGAATCTTTTTATAATTTCGCACGTTACTAGGATCAGATATTTATTATACTATGGATCCGGAGTAGGTATGGGCATTAATGGACCAAATAGCCACATTAAATTGCCTCAGCTTGGCCATAACCATTTTTCAAGCAGAAGTTGTTGCTATAAATTTTTGCACCGTTTTGGACCTAAAAAATTGACAGAAAGGTGCATCCATAAACATATTCACAGACAATCGGGCAATTCAGGCATACCCGTGTGACTCCGCACTGATCAGAAAGTGTACCAGCAACCTGAGAGAACTCGTAGGAGCAATGATGTTACTCTATGGTGGGTTCCGGGTTACAGCGACATTGAAAGCAATGAAATGATGGACAAGCTGGCTAAAGAAGCAGCGAAAACGCCCTTTATTGGACCCCTACAATAACTACAAAAAGTCACTTGAAACAGGTAATCAATAGTGGGAGGGCTCAAAAGTAGCCTTATGCTGGAAAGAACATCCAGGTCACAGATAAGCGAAGAGTATGATAAATGCTTCGCTTATCATATTCTCTAAGGTCGCTCTCAGGCTTCCTTACCATGCGCCCTTAAAATACCATCTCTTCCAGATTGGACAAGAGGAGGATCAAACTTGTCGACTTTATAACGACGAGTCAGAAACTGCTGAACATATACTGTATGAATGCGTTGCCAGAGGCCGCCTAAGACATAAAATTGTCTGTAAAGTACGTCTGACATCTACTAAGGTTCATCAAGGATCTACATTTGCTCTAAACAATTGGAGGACTTAACTTACAATATGTAGATCTTACATATAGATAGGATCAGATATTTAAGTATTTAGTAGCTTTCCAAAGTGAATGCTGAGTGCTACTATCTGCAATAAGTTTTGAGAGAAACTTGCTGATTGATGCTTCTCTGATATTTTTTATTTTAATGATTTGCTGTTGGGTGAATCTGTTGGGCAATGCTTTATCCTCAGGGCTTTCTATTTCTTTTGGAAAATTAAGACCATTCAGTCTATAGTTAATAACAGGTGTACTATTCCATGCAGTCACACATTTTTTTTCATCAAAATGTTTGATATTAGTTTTAATAACCAATGCACTGCCTCAGCGAGCTATATTATCCGGGTGAATTCAGTTAAGTAAGATGAATTTCAGCTATAAGACATAAATGAACATTTTCCATGCACAGGAGTGCTTGCAATTCATGTTGGTGCTGCAGTTCGTTTGACAGAAATTTAAATTCTGCTCTCAATTTCGTTAAGCCGCAGGTCTTGTTCTTTTAAAATTTGCATTATATTTTTGATTNTCATCAAACCCAATGTAGCGAAGCATGGCATACATCAAGTCATGATTGATAGTATCAAAAGCCTTTGAATAGTCTAAGAGACACATCAAAGTCAATTTTCCTTGGTCTGTGCTTCGTATGATATCGTCCACAATATTCGATATAGATGGGATATATATAGATAGGATCAGATATTTAAGTATTTAGTAGCTTTCCAAAGTGAATGCTGAGTGCTACTATCTGCAATAAGTTTTGAGAGAAACTTGCTGATTAATGCTTCTCTGATATTTTTTATTTTAATGATTTCCTGTTGGGTGAATCTGTTGGGCAATGCTTTATCCTCAGGGCTTTCTATTTCTTTTGGAAAATTAAGACCATTCAGTCTATACTTAATAACAGGTGTACTATTCCATGCAGACTTCTAGATAGTACTGGTAAAAGTGTTTAGTAATGAGTATAGACCAACAATGAATCGGTTGCTTAATTTATTAATGAATTTAATATACTCGTATTCGTATATGTTCGATCAAAGTGCGCAATATTGTTACAAAAGTAGCTTAAATATCACAGGTCACACGTTTTTTTTTTTCATCAAAATGTTTGATATTAGTTTTAATAACCAATGCACTGCCTCAGCGAGCTATATTATCCGGGTGAATTCAGTTAAGTAAGATGAATTTCAGCTATAAGATATACATGCACATTTTCCATGCATAGGAGTGCTTGCAATTCATGTTGGTGCTGCAGTTCGTTTGACAGAAATTTAAATTCTGCTCTCAATTTCGTTAAGCCGCAGGTCTTGTTCTTTTAAAATTTGCATTATATTTTTGATTTTTTGTTTTGCCCTGGCCAATTATCACTAGATATGTTGAGTTTCTTAACGGAAAACATATATCTCTGTAAAATCATAGAAGAAGGTACATACCCCATTTGGACCTTTACTATCCTGACCCTCATGGTGGATATACAAGTATGATAAAAGATAGCATCCTTTAAATTATGTATACAAAATACATTGATTGTTAGCTATGCTTTGTAAAACATATTTTGCACAGAAATATTTGATAGATGCAAATGTTGCAGAAAGTTAAAGGCAAAAACAAGAGAATCAACTTAGGTTTTATATTCTTCAGTAGCTTCTTTTAAAGCAGTGCAAGACTTTTTGGTTCTCGTTTTTTTTTGTAAACCATAAGCTCAGTAGCTAAATTGTTGAAATTTTAATCTTCAAATTTGATTCTTCACATATTAAACATGGTATCAATTTATGGCTGCCCAAATTTCAGAGTAAAGATTTCAATCAAAAATGCATGATTTTCACATTAAGTCTGAAATTTAAATATTTGTATTACTTTCCTTAGCAGCAATATGTATGTTTGTTATCTTTTTCTGCGATTTTAATTTTTGCATTAACAATCCGCTTATATCTCTATGTCCTAGATCTATTCTGTGTGATAGCACGAAGACTAAATAAAGCATTTTGCCGATTTTTACTTTTTTTGTTCCAATAATTACAAAGTAAAGGTATGAAACCTTTTTTTGAAAGGTGTATGTAAAGAAGGTAACTTCGATGCATTACCAATACGACATAACTAGAAATCAGGATTGCAACTGTTAAGTGCAGAAAAGATCTAAGTCAATTGACTTAAGCCTTTTCAACACTAAACATAAATTTAAAAAACCATACTGTATATAAGGAGTGTCCTCATTTAATGCCATTCTACGCTGAACATGTTTGGTCAAATATATAATATAAACTGTCTAACTCGAAACAGTCAAGAATTCAATTTAGATTCAATTTTTTTTGTAATAAGAGATTATTTTGTGGCACTAATTAATGTTATAATTATTTTCATTATTTTAATGATTTATTCCTGATAATTTATTTTTGTCGTAGTATTTGCGCATTATGAATATACACGTGCTTATATTCACAGAGCGCAGAGCCGGTTTACTCTGTAGTAGCTCACGTTCACGGTTGAACTAAAAAAAAAACATGTCTAAACAACTTTACTACTTACTATTCGATTTTTGGGAAGGAAAAAAAGTTGCAGCCAAAGCTAAAGAATTTTATGGTCAGTAGGGCAGCCTTAACATATTAGCTTTAAAACACAATAATAATCTTAACTTTTTTAATTATAACTTTAATTTTTAAGAATTAAAAGTTTCTATTTTAATTTTTTTATAGATCTGGTTCGAAAAAATTAACTGGAGGTTTAGGTATACAAGCAAAGAAGAATCCAAGCATTTTTCAAGTTAAAGTCGCTTCAAGTTTACCAAAACCTGTTGATCAATTTTTACCGGGCGCGGCAACTTATCAAGTTCTTTACACAGATTATGAGACTTTCGCTGTTATTTATTCTTGTTCATCCTACGTTTTATTTCATTATGGTAAGTTAAAACGAAAAATTTGAATTCATAACTTTGATCGAAATAACTCTGATTACTTTTAGATCGAATATGGATTTTAGGACGAAATTGGGACATAAACGCTGAGACAAGGTTAAACATCTACCGATTTCTAACATTTAGAAATATAGATAACGATCGATTAATAGTTACTAATAAAGATTGTACGAAGTAGATTTAACATTAGATTTTATATATATTTAAATTTTTTTCGCGTTTAATTAAAAATAAACTTAAAAAATAAATTTAAAATAAATTAAAAAAAAATTAAGTTAATGCAACCCTGGTTTATAATAATTTTCATCATAAGTTCCAACCCCAACCACGTTTATAACAGCAAAATGATGCGGCAAAGTCGTTTCAATAGCAAACCATAACAGATACGTTTGAGGTTCACTAAATAATCGAAAAAAATTGTAATTATAATACAGTTTAACCTCGATATAACGGATAAGATATTTTTAAGTCATACTATTAATATTATTTATTTAATACATCAATATATTTCAATATAGAATTCAACTTGGGTTATTCTCCAAGTTGCTCTATTCCATATTCATAGATAATCTCGGGGTATTCCCCGAGTTGTCTACATGATGTATAAATCAAGGAGGGTAGTTCTACTTTTACTTGCTATTTAGCGCTAAATTGTTGTTATTTATATTGAACTAAAAGTAGAACTAACATTAGACCTAGAACTATTAGAAACATTCGCGTTACGACACGTAGGTCTAGTGTTAGTTCTAATGCTAATGTTTATATCGAGGTTTAACTGTAATTAAAAATTCAAAGAAAACTTACGTTGGAGTAAAAAATATTGATAAAACAAACTCTTCTCCGCTTGTTAATGGTTTCAAAATCCCATTAGTTGGTTGTATAATAAACTCAGGATATTTACTGGTTTTATAAACGTTAAAACTAAGTGGGGATACTAAAAAAAAAATAATCATTAACAAATAAAAAAAAACATTAAATTAATTTACTTGTTAGATTTCGTATACAAACAATTTGCTTGGCTGTATTTCCAATATAAACATTACCAAATTGAATATGAATCGGTTTCGCTTTAAAAATAGGAAAAAATATTTTCAATTCCAAAGGAATCGTTTTATCTAAATTTTCGCGTTGAAAAACGAACAAATCCTTTGAAATGGTTAAAGAATTTTCTTCATAATCGATGTTGGAAAAATCGGAACCTTTTGAGCCCAATTTTAAATTTTCCACCAACTCCAAAATATCTCTTTTACACAAGAAACAACTCAGAAACACCTCCATGGTATCTTCGGGGTGTAAAGGTATGGTTCCTTTAAAAGTTTTACTTATTATGTTAGGTGCAATGATTTTTTCAACTTTAAAAGGCTTATCAACGTCTAAATAAACCAAAGCCTGCGATTTTGAGGTATTTTTAAGTAATAATCGACGTGTTGTTGAAAATTGCTCGTTATGCAAGACATCCGAAGCGAAAGTTGTCATCTTTATTGGTTTTTGATCATCAAAACCGTCTAATATTATCGTTGGAAGTGAAATTTGAAGTGTTATTTTTAATTTTGTCGGTAGTAATTCGTCTCCGTGTGGTCTTACAAATAAATTTTCATGTAATCTAGTTAATGTAAAGAATGAAATAAAGATGTAAAAAAATAAAATTAGTAGCATTTACCTTTGTTCACAAGGAATTTTGATTATACCTACTAAATGAGCATGAATTGATTGATCTAAGTACATCTCATCGAAGTTATTCACGTTGGTTGTAACGGTGACGTAAACAAAACTATGTGGCGGGATTGTTGAAACTCTTGGTTCAACCTTAAATACTTTAATCATTAAAATAATTTGAAAATGTAAAGAATACTGGTTTTACACTAAATTGTTTGATATTTAGTTTTCCTAGATATTGGTCAAAAATCACCAATTTCGGTTTTGATTCGCAACCATCTTCTAAATCGTCCGATAAAGGTAAATCTAAGGCGATCGAAATCGATTTTATCTTCTTTTCAACTTTCATAAAAACGTTCCATGTTATAGTTATCGCACAAACACTTGTATTTACGATTTTCACCCGCCTTTGAATATCGTCTGATTTATATGATAAAGTTCCCAATCTATATTTGCAATAAATTTTATATGGTTTTATCTAAATAAATTTTTACCTTAAAATTGGTTCTTTTCGAATCGAATTTAACCCAATTGGATATTCGATAGGCAAACCAAGAACTTCGATTAAAACGCTAAAAGTGAACGGTAATACTTCACTTATATCCACAACGATTTCTTCTAAATAATAACCCCAAGTTGTTGCGTAAACCCAAACGTCAAATTCGATGATTTCAAATGAATTTAAATTTTTGGATTGGTTTTCTATTTTGACAACGATTCCCTCTGGTGTTACAATCTCATCCCAAACAGCTGAAAAATTGCTTCTTTAAAGGTGTTTTTGTAAACTTTTCGCTGCGCAATTACAGAAATGTAATAAAGATTTTAACGAGTGTATTCTGCGCAGCAAATTTAAGTTAGAAAAAACTGTTACAACAAAAACTACGCTTACATCTACAATTGTTTCTAAAATATGGTATACATTTAACGAACGTGCGTTTCATTGATGAAAGAAACTCAAAATTACAGCAATTAGAAAGTCGGCGTAATGGTGAGTGTCTTTAACTGCTTTAGAGGCTTTATTTATTGTTCTGGGTTGTTCTAAAAATTGTTATTTTTAACATTTTACAAAATAGATACAAGTATAAAAATGATACTGGACAGAGGGAAGTGAAACTAAAATGAGAAACTCATGATTGAATATATAAAGGAGGAAAAGTATAAAAGGTAGAGATGGAACGGATACTGAATTTGCGAAAAGCCGGATACCGGATATTCGGTATACCCTTCGACCGGATATCCGGTATATCTATCCGGCCATTATGGTTATAACTTTTGGTGCATTTCTGAAGTCATATCCTACATTGCCACATTATTGCGATATTTGAATAAAAATGAAATTAATAAGAAAGCTGATAAGATATGTCAACTTATTTGGATCCAAGACACAAAATGAACTTTTTTGATGCTGATTTAACTCACGAAGCAACTCTAAAAAGAGGATGCTTTAATTAATAATTGGTGATATTTCCACAAGGATCCTTCATGAAATGAATTTTATAACGAATTTTGATGATTTTTGATGAATTTGGTTTATTGGAAAGAGGACACTTTTATTAACACTTTGGGAAATTTTCATACTCATATTCCAAGAAATGGATTTTATACGAATTTTTAAAACTTAATCGACGAAAATTGCAAAATTCGAAAAAATTGTCGATCATTTCAAAAATTTATTTCTCAAGAACTGCAGCGACAAAATGAGCAGACAGAAAAATAAAAGAGTAGAGTGTAGTCTGTAATAAAACAAATGACTGAACAGAGACTCTAAAGAACCTGAGCAGAAAGGACGGAGTCTAGAACAATACTGGCAATCGAAAAAAGTCTGTAAAAACAACTAGAAAGAGAAAAAAGAAACTGGATAGAAAGGGAGGAGAACTTGTAATAAAAGAATGACACAGGAATAACAATAACGATACTGGTAACAACAGAATGGGACTAAGCAATGACTGGAAAGAGAAAAGTGCCACTTAAAAGAGACTATAAGACAAGAACTTAACAGAGGAGAGAAAACTGGAAACAGACTAGTAATAGATGAAACATACTAAATATAGACTGAAAAGAGAAAAAATACGCTGGGCAAGGAGGACGGAATCTAGAATGAGGTTGGTAATAGAAAAAAGATATTTAAAAACAATTAGACAAAAAGGGAAGACACTAGACAGAGACTTCTAATAGCAAAGAGAAACTGGAGGGACAATAATGATGCTCATAATAAAAGAAAATGACTAAACAAAGACTAGAAAGAGAACTGTAATGGTAAGAAACGCACTTAGCTTATTTCAGATCAAAGAAAAACGGAATACAAACTATTTAGTAATAAATTAAAGGCATTAAATAAAGACTGGAAAAAGACAAGAAAGGAAGGGCAGAAACGAGGAAGACTGGTAATAAAGGAAAGAAACAAAATTTGTTCAGTATCTAACAAACAAACAATTTTTGTTTGTTGTTCTCAACTGATGTAAAAATTGTAACTGCTATTATGCTATAAAATAGATATTGCATAAGCAAAAATTAAAATACATTGAGAGGAGGGAAGCTAAAAAAACAAGAGGAAGACTGGTAATAGAAAAAGGAAAATGCATCGGAACTGAAATGAGAAAAAAGAGACTGGAGATGAGGAAAACTGGATATTGGTTATAAAGGCAACAAATGGTGTAGATAAGAAAGAGAAAACTGGAGAGGTACTGATAATAAAAGAAAAAACTGAACAGAAAAAATGAAGGTGATAGGAAAAAGAACTTGGTATTGCTCGTTTTAGTTTAACTCCCAATTTAAGTTGCATTTTTGACAAACATGCTACTTTACAACAACCTTGCAGGTATTATGGAAAAAAATTACAAAGTATAATTATATTCACAAAAAATCCTAAGAAATCTAAAAAACTAATTGAATTGTATTTATCGAAATAATATTCAAACATAGTAATATTATAAGTGTAAAAATGTATACCATATTTTCGTACAAACTAAATCTAAAAAATGGATAGTTGCATTAAAACAACACCTTTTGATGTAGGATCGTCACCTAGAAACGATTTTTTGTCGTTTTTAAGTGACCCATACTGATCCAATTATCTAGAACCCTACATAATAATATACACTATTCTAGTGTACTAAGGTCCATTACTACCATCTTTTAGTTAAATTTATCTTATAGATAAACCCATCTATTAGGCCCACTTTTACTACCTCTTGATAAATTTAACCGATAGATATATTGGCGCTCTTAACCAATGAGAGCGTTTAAAACCGCTGTAACCATGGTAATTATTTATCGGATAAATTTATCAAGAGGTGGTAAAAGTGGGCCTTAGCCAATCAGAGCGCATAAAATAGCCGTAACCGTGGTAAGAATCCCTTAGATAGCTTAACCAGAAGATGGTAGTAACGAGCCTAAGTTATTTAATTAATTATCTAAAAATCATTAATTTTTACTAAGTATATTAACAAAATACACTTTACCGCAAAATTAACGTACCACTGTGACTTTTGGTTTTATTTCGAGAAATATTATATATTTCCGATTCATGAATATCAGTTATGGTATAGTTTGTATAGGAATTGTCCGTCTTCTTTATTTAATTTTGAAATCATAACAGCTTTTCATGAGGGGCTTGTTTTTTAAGTAAATAAGCCTCACTTCTAAAATAAAAATAGGCATTGTTTTTTAATTGTTTTACCAATTGATAAGATAACTGTCATTCGTGCAATACATAATAGATCGTGCTAGATCGTGATAAATGTGTTCAAATTGTAACTTTATTCAATGAAGGACTAACAAATCGCGAATTTGGTAGAAGGTTTGGCGTGGCTCATATAACGATCGGTAGGGTTCTGCAGAGATTTGTAGAGACCAACGATTATGCTAGACGACGTGGCCAAGGCAGGTCACAAGCTGCAAATGCGGGAACTTTAGGGAACGGTTCACTATTGCACGAAGCCTCCAAATACAACTAAGCGAGGTTCATGGCACTGCTGTTAGTCAAGATACCATAAGAAGAAGACTTCGTACTCAAAACTTACGACATCGTGCGGCAGCTACTGGTCTCAGATTATCTGCAAACCACTGAAAAAACAAATTGGTTTTTGCAAGAAGGCACATGGATTGGGAAATCCATCATTGGGAGCAGGTGTTATTTACGGAGTAGTCACGGTTTTGCCTTGCAAGTTCTGATCGTCGTCCAAAAGTGTACAGAAGGCCAAATGAAAGATATTCCACATGTAATATTCGAGAAACCACATTATACAGAGGCTTGCACGGAACTTTTTATCGTTGATGGTGGACATCTGAATTCTGAACGATACATAACAGACATTTTAGAACCTTATGCAGGATAATGCGAGGCCACATGCGGCACATATCGTTACTACATATTTAAATTATGTTAATATTTAAGTCCTCGAGTGGCCAGCCTGTAGTCTAGACCTGAACCCAATCGAGCATCTTTGGGACATAATGGGACGGAGGATTGGAAGTCAGCATCCACCACCTAACAGCTTAGACGAGCTGCGACAAAGTCTTATTCGCGTATGGGAAGATATCTCTCAAGAAACCATCAGATCTTGGTGTTCGTAACAATAATGATCATTTTACATGATTTCGTTTATTTCCTACAATTCATTTAAGTCAAACTTATTGCTATTATCGAAATAATTCTGTTTATGTATTATATTCTTAATATGTTTTTCAAAATGTATGATAATTTTGATTTTAATTATAATAAATCGAAATATATAAGTGGTGCGTTAATTTTGCGGTTAAGTGTAATATAATTAAAAAATAATTATAAATACTTGATTTAGCCAGTTTCAACTCAGCCAACACATCATTAAGATTTTTCATTCTTTCAAATTCTGGATAAAAATTAATCGCTTCCATGTATACTAATCCTTCACCAGGAGTTAAATTTTCGATTTTAATTGTTTGTTTAACCGCTAAAAATTAAAGTGAATTAATGTCTATACATATATTCTAAATGATTTAACCCTTTATATAATATCAGTCGATATATTGACCTGCGTTGAAAAATACCGTTAACAAAAAATTCTCGATCAGTTATGACTCGACTGGATCGTGTTCCTATCCACACCAGATGTGCGTTGTCTAATAAGAAATGTGAGAAGCGATCAAAATATCAACGAGTGTGAATTAAAGCAAGAAGTGGTATCACATGTTAGATGTTTTCTTGCAAAAATTTCATATCTTTGTAACATTTATCATTTTTTTATTTCCCAAACAACATACTTTTGCATTACAACATATTGCTATACATTAAAGGGTTAATGCATAAAAATGTTAAAATTCCAAATTAAATTACATACGTGTTCTTAAAGGGACCGCTTGAAATTCGATATAATATTTTTGCAAATTAGCCTTTCCTTTAAACAATTCCAAAACTCTATCTTTAATTGTTTTTGTGGTGGTACTATAAGTTGTTGTAGTTGTTGTCTCACTGGAACTTGAAAATTCTGTTGTAGTAGGTGCTCCATCTAATAAATTAAAGTAATCATATTTAATTGATTCTTCTTCAGGATTAAAACTAGGTAAAGAAATCCTTTCGTTAAAATTTCCACCATAAGATTCGCATTCAGGTTCGACGAAATCTTGGTATTTGATGATGTCATCTGGTGGTCCTTCCGCAACATAAACGTCCGGATATTCCTCGATAGCAATTTTAGGCCATAAAATACAACTATAATCATTATTTCCGTACGGCAAATAAATATTAACCGTAACATCTCCTACTAAACACATTAGTCTAATTAAAATTATTTTATTTAAACCCAAAACGAATAACGGTAAATAAATGTCTTGATAAAACCCCATTGATTTTGGTATAATCGTTACATCAACGTGAATATTTTCACCATTTTTAATAATTCCAACGATTGGATTTAGATTAATTTCAAAATCATTTACGCAACCCCCGGTTGGTGTTCCAAAAAAGAAAATTGCGATCACTTTGCCGACGTTATGAATACAGATGTGCATTTGAGTTGGCTTTCCTACAAAAAGAATATCTTCTGGGCATAAAATCGGAAATTCTGATGTGTTTGTATGGATTAAAAGATCCGGTTGGGTTATATTATAAGTTACGTTACAAATCGAATCAAAATCATTCGAATGGGAGAAGTTTGTAGTTAATTTTAAAAATGATTGAAATTCACCTAAAACCTACAAATATTTTAATAACATTTTTTCTATCAAATTAATATAGATTATTACTTTTGTATTTGGGGCGAAATTAATTTGGGATTTTCCATACGGTTTTAAAACTCCCTCTGTGGGATAAATTACATTTTGAAAGTCGTTTTCTTCGTAGACTTCCCAAAAAACCGATTCTGCACTTAAATTTTCAACAAATAAACATTTTTCGTAAGAAAAATTAATCATTAAATCGCCAAAATTTAAAATTGGTCGATCAAACGCTACTTTTGGAGCATCAGCGGTTAATAGAACACGGAGTTGTTGTTTATAACCTCCATCTACTGATAATCTATTAAATATTATTTAAAATCATTTAAATAAATGTAACACATCAATCTTACAAAAATTGTTCTTCGATGTCATTAAATTCCCCATCGGCATTAATTAGAATCGTGCATTCCATTTTATCATATAATTCAAAAACTTTCGGTTCTATTGAAGTAAAACGGTTTGATTTATGACGCTTCCATTGGCATTGGAGATTGTAACATGTTTGGGATAAAACCAAAATAGTTTCGGTGTGTTTAAAATTAGGAACTACAATTGGATTTGGTTCGATTATAATTCCGATTGGTTCAATTTCTAATAAAAGTTCTACTTCACCAACTAAAACGTCAAGAACCTAAAAGAAATATATCATAAACGTATCAAATTTATAAATAAACTTACCTTCAAATCTTCTTTTGAATCATTTCTTTCGATGACATTAAAATTTTGATGATCTTTAAGACTTATTTCAGGAATATTTTCAATATACAAACTAAAAAATGTTATGTTATTCTAAAAATAATTAATTTATGATGAAACCAACCACAAAACAACTCTATAAAGTCCTTCTACGGTTGTTTCCGGTTGAACTCGAATCGAAAATTCTTTACTACTATAATAAGGAAGACTTTTTGTGTCATCTTCAATTGTTATCCAATGAAACGCTAAATGTTTAAAATCGGAAACTGTTGGGTTCGATGATTTTCTTATCGACCAATAATAATTTAAATTTATAGGGCTAATATTCGATATTTTTAATTGGGCTTTAACAGTTTGACATGTTAAGGTTTTTCCAACGTGAAGACAATAATCGGAATCGATATCCAAGAAAAATGGATCTGCATCTTTTTGTTTTAACTTAAAAAGAAAAAAAATTAAAGTAATTATGTCAAGATATATATTTAGTGCAATTTAAATCCTAGTTTAGATGGGTCGAGAAATCTGATGCCTAATTCCATAACAGTCCATAACTCGTCTTATTCGAACGCGACTTCAGCCTGTTCAGACACAAATTCGGAATGGCTGAAATATACCAGAAAACCGAACCTAAGCCTAGAGTGAAATATGTCTAAGCCGAGATGTGCGATGATTGAGGGTTCATAAGAGTTTTCATTGTGATAACTGACCCATGTGCTATATTCCAAGCAACTAGCTGTATTTCAAGCTGTAGTTGTTTACGTAAAGTGGTTGGGTTCTGCAGGTAAGTCACCAACATTAGAACAGCCAGGAAACAAGACTGATGGATGTTTATGAAATTAAGTCAAAAGCAGTAGCAACTATAAAAAATAGAAAAATCATTTTTTTGCTTAATCTGCATACAATATATATGGAATATAGCACTCTAAACCAATAAACGGCAAAAACATTTATTTCTAAATTTGGAAATCATCTTAAATTGGTCCCTGAGACTACTGATCTGATCTATTGGTGTTGATCAAGTTCATGGAAGTGGAATATACTATCCACTTAACTCGTCACATTCATTCATATACCTGCTTGCTTACTCAATAGATCAGTTTACTTTACAATTGTAAAGTACTCGGCCCATGTAAACTAGAATAAATTGAAATATTACATGGAAAGTAATAAAATTTTTCTCGAAATAAATTCCATCGCCGATAAAATCCAATTCTTCACACGTATTGTTATTGCAAAGTAAATAAACCATTTCCGCAAACAGTCCATAACGTTTTGGGTAAAAATTAATCATAATTTCAACAAATTCTTCATTATCAACAACAAAATAAACCGGATAAAGTTTAAAAGCATCCGAAACCAATTCCATTGAACTATTGATGTTCTAAAATTGTTTTTGATTAACTTTTCCGCCTTCATTATAAAATAATAATACTCACAAAAATCGAATAGTGATACCAATCGGCTTCATTTAAAAAGAAAAATTTTCCCAATCCGCCATCGTTTTTAATAATTAAACTAATTTTTACTTCGAAACCGATTAAAGTACATCCACAATCGATTGAAGAATTCAAAGCCATCGTTCTTTCGATATCAAAATCACTCTGAGAAAGACACAGTGTAGAATTTTTGTCTCTAGTTAAATTACAAGTGTTTTTTAAAACATAAATACGTAAATTGGGTGAATTACTCCAACTTTGTAGTTTAATGGTGACATCTTTTCCGGTAAAAGTATTAAATTTAACCGATTCATTTAAATCTTTGTAAATTGCGGTTTTGTATTCAACCGTGTAGACGGCACACATTCCCGGAGCGACTCTTGGAGATGTTTCGGCAGAAATTCTGAATTCGTTAGATTTTGGGAGGGTTTTTATCGTTATAGAACGACCTTTAGTCGTCATATTGCGAATTTTTAAAGTTCGTTTATAATTTACATTTAACTTGTAGTCGAAGAAACTTATTAATGTTGGATTAGCTACAAAAATAACATCTAAATCTTTTCGAGATGGTGGTTTCTGTTTGCGACTTTTCGGTGCCTTTTTAATTATATCTACACTTGAATCACATAAACATTGCGTTACACAATGATGCCGATTTGAGTTTAGTTGAAAATCTTAAAGAATAAAAATTTAATTTTAATAAAAAAATTATTTATTTATTGAGAAAATGTTTAAACACTTACCCATTGCTCTTTCGACTGGATTCGGTAATAAACTTTGTTGCTTGATCAACCCAGATTGATTAAAAGCGCTAACATCCGGAAGTAAAGAATATCGTTTTAATTTTAAAGTTTCGGTTAAAAGTTTGTCTTGGTTTAGAATTTCTTTACCGATTAAATAAATACCATGATTTTCCATCAGTTCACGTTCAGTTTCTGTTATTAAATCAGATTTTTCATTGTATTTATTAATTATCTTAAAAAAAAGTTATCCATTAATTCGTTGCGAGACATCTTTTAGTACATTAATTTATTACATTAATAATTTATGTCATAAAAGTTTTCTTTACAGCAATTATAAAGTTAGTGCGAGAAATAAAATACTTTGCGTGCTAAATGGTGATAACCGTATGTGAAGTGATTATTTATGCTTTATGTACAGAATATGGAGTTTAACGTGGTGTTGGGGTCAACGGGTTATAATGGTACGGATGGTTAGACGCGTGAGTAATAATTTATAAAAGTTTATAACTATTTTGTATAAACAATTTTATATTATTTATTTATTATATATTATTAGCGCTTGGATGCATCACAGGTAATTTGCAAATACAAAGAGTTGTGTATATAAATACAGTGTGTTAATTAATTATCGTACCTGACGTCATCATTGCAAGTATGCAACCAATATCACAGTATTGGTATTGCAATACGTAAATCGCGTATTACAAAATAAATACTGTGATATTGGTTGCATACTTGCAATGATGACGTCGGGTACGATAATTAATTAACACACTGTAGTATAAACAATACATAATAGGACAATCAGAAAAACAACAAGTTTATTTCACCTTCATTAAATAAAATTTAAAGTTTGCTTCAAAATTATATTTTGGACAACAAATATAATTTTGAATTCATTACATTAAATCAATATTATCATTTAAAACATTTCTTTGTGTTAATAATAAAGAGTGATGTAACGAAAATAATTAAAATTATAAAATCTAAGGAAAATATTTGTTCAATTCTGTGATTGCGCAGATATTATCAATATTTTTAACATGTTTATACCTTATACACTCTGAAGTGCTTTATCAACATCTATACACAACTCGTGCGAACCACGAATCGAAATCATTTATTTACACAAAATACGAATACATCTTCATTATTAAAGGGCTTCATTATTAATTTTTAGCACAAAATATAAGATTACTACTGTACCTACCACCTTTTTATTTATGTAATAAATAAGTTATATTTTCACATATTCTTATTATCATTACTTTATAAAATTTAATATTCCATAATTGCATCAATAAAAATTTACAAAATGTTGTTGGTCTATTCGTCCTTATAATTTACTTACATTTTGTGTACATTCAGCAGTTCCTTTTAAATCTTGACTTTCTATATTAAATTTAGTCATATTCTTCATAATATTTTCAGGATAATCTCTTTTTCCAAAACTTTCCTGAAACGTTTCTTGGATAACGTGGGAAATATCATGATTGGATTTGATGGTACTCTTGGGAATTAAAGGAATCGGTTCCATTTTCTTGCTGGGTATTAAAACGTATTGGATGACAGTAGATCTCAAAATGACACATTTGATATATTTTTTAAAGAACCAGCTTTATTCTCTCATTTTAAATATCTTATATACACATTTTAATCTTTGAATCTTTCAATTTTCTCTTTTTTTCTCAAAAAAACTTACAGCATGTACTTTTTTTCATTACAATCAACAAAAAAAATAGGGAAAACATTATTATCATCATTAATATTCCTATAATATAATACACATTATTTAACACAAAAATAATAAAAACGTTGGTTTTTTGTAGAGGTTAACAGAGTATAATAATAATTACATATGCTTAAATTTTAGTGACAAGTCGCTTATCACAACAAAAAAAAAAAAAAAATAAAAGTAAAAAGAGAAGTCGAAGACGGCTCGCTCAAAAAACCAAAACGAGACTCGAAGATATGATAGTACTCCCATCTGAACGAAGTCAATATCATACATTTCTAAATGTTGATAAGGACTTTATCACAGTAAAAAACGCACCATTCTCTCTATTTAGGAGGCGTGTCGAAGTGGCGCTCAGGGCATGGTGTCTAATTGTGTAGCTTTTTATTACCAAATACACCACTTAAATCTATACAAAAAAAATTGCTTTAGTTTTTATAAATAAACACTAAACAAAAAAAAATAGAATTATTAATATCAACACATCGATTAATTTTTAAAAACAAGTAGAGCAAATCAATAAAGTAAAACCTCTAGAGGGCGCACTGAAACAATATTTGGGTGGGTAACCAACACTTTTGAAAAGACTGAAAAGAAAATAATATCTGCTCGACAGTCTTCCTAGATATCGCATAAGCCTTTGACAAAGTTAGGCACGACGACTTGATACACCAATTAAACAAAATGTTTTCAAAGCACTTTTTACAAACACTTTTTCTATCAGTACCGGCACACTGGCTTTCTTTCTTTTCAAAAAAAATTTCTTTTCTAATATTTTTTCTGTTATTGGAAGCCTTTTTGGCATTTTGTAGGAACTTCTTCGGCAGTATTCCTTCTTTTCTGTAGGATTTTGTCCAATAAATATATATTGTACATCATTTACTTTTTTCTACATGTTTTAGATTGTATATTTTTAATCAAAATATATTATTACTCTAATTTGGCCCTTATACACTCTATGTATATCGTATTTATTACGAAATATTTTTTAAAAACCCTTCATATCTTAAAGGTCAATATTATTACACAATCTTAATGTTATAATAAAAGTATGTAGAAACATTAAAGGAAAGTATTCTTTTACTATTTTATTATTGAGATTCTTTGTAAAGAAAAAACGAAGTTATATCATTTCTCATACGTCAATCCGTGAAACACACTACCAACTTAAATCTAATCAACAATAAAATCAGTGCCACGCAGAGGTTTTATTTTATTAAGCCATTATATCTATAAACATAGCAAAAAAAATAAATAATAATTCGAAAATGATTTCTTAAAACAATACAGGGTGTTTAAAACAACGAACTCATTTAAAACGATAAATTGAAATGCAATTTTATTCAAACAATACCAACTTTGATTGACCGTTATATTAAGATCCGATTTAAAGTTGATACTTTTTATTTTAATTTCAACCTAATTGGAACGATGTCAAAGCGAAAGTTAACTTTCTTTTTATAGCGATATCTAATTTCTAAAATTTTTTAAACGTTTCGACTATTGCGTAATAAACAGCGACCACGATAACCTATTACCGAGCCTAAAAACATCCGCGACAACGGCCTTGATGGTTAAAGCCAACTTGCCAACTTGATTTAAACGAATGACTTGACTTTTAAACTGTCCCCCGCTTCGTACTCTGTTTCCAGGGGTTTTCCAAATGAATCAACTGCAAATACTTATCTCGTAACTCGTAATGCAGCAACACGGTGAAATTCTTTTTGTTATTACTTATTATTACACTCATTAAAAAAAAATATGCATGATAAGATAACATTATTTCAAAGTAAATAAAATGACACTTTAATTTAACGTAACAAAACCAAGTTAAATAATAAAATAATGTAACTTGCGTACTTACGTTTAAAAATAAGTTCTCACTATGTATGAGTAATATCCAAAATGGTTTCTTTTCTCCTATTATAATTTGAATCTTGCGTATGCATTGTATTAAATCTTAAAGATCCATAATGTGCAGATGGGGCCATCGCCGGCAATTCTCTAGCTTTTATACTAACTTTTTCAGCTTCCTTCTCACATTTTGGACCTCCAACCAAAATTTCATTTCCACTACTCTTTTCTAGTTTTTCCAATATCTCCACTTTTTCCATTTTCGTCACACCTAATATGTATTTGAAAAATTCATACGTCGACCAACAAATTGCAGTGGATGGTACTTGGAACATAACCCTCGCTTGCAACCCTCGGAAATAGGCCAACGGGCCACCCAATCGGTACACAGTTTTCATTGCTTGTACCAAACCGTTCGTCGCGCCAACTTGTTGGGTGTTTAAAAGGGTTTTGCAGACATCTAACGGCGTAGTAACAGCCGCGGCTACTGCTCCAGCAGCGGCACCGCTAACCATGTGCGCTTTAGGGTTGTAAATTCCCTCTTTATTCGTTCTTTTTTGCATGAATTCGTATACCATAAAGTGAATGCTTTGGAACGGGATGTTCATTGTTAATTGAGTTGTATAAGAACGGTAGAAGGCAGGAAAACCTTCGGTAGAATAAATTCGGGATATTGCTGTTAAAACTGATTTGTATGGAGAGTGAAGCATTTGTAAACGCTGTTTGACCACTAAAAAAAATAAAAATAGATTAGAAAAACATGTCGACTTTATTGTAATTTATGTCATTAATATCTATAAAGTTTTAATAAAAGAACAAGTGGTGCATGCTATCGAGCATGTAAGCAAATGAACCGCGGCTTGGGTTTTTCCAATTACTGAATAGAACAAAGGACTTGGAAGAAGCAATAAAAATCGGTTTCAAAAGATTGGAGTTAATAATTATGTAAATAACGATGATATTGTGGGATTTACTAAATTTTGTTGATTACAATCTATATATCTAAAATTCCAATAAAAATAATTCGTTATATTCCAAATTAAATGTAATTAAGATAAGTTTTGTACATAAAACTGGAAGTAAAATATTTCTAGTCATACTGATTTTTAAAATGATTATCAAAAATGACACATCAAAAACCATACTTTATTGGTACATTAACGTTAAAAAATATTATTCAAATTCATTTTGAATCGATTTAGGGAGTTTAAAGGTTATTAAATTTTGTTGATTACAATCTATATATCTAAAATTCCAATAAAAATAATTCGTTATATTCCAAATTAACTGTAATTAAGATAAGTTTTGTACGTAAAATTGGAAGTAAAATATTTCTAGTCATACTGATTTTTAAAAATGATTATCAAAAATAACACATCAAAAACCATACTTTATTGGTACATTAACGTTAAAAAATATTATTCAAATTCATTTTGAATCGATTTAGAGAGTTTAAAGGTTATGATACCTAAAAAATCTTCATTTGAAAACAGAATAAATCATTGTAAAGATAAGTCTAAAAATAAAACATAAAGTAGCATATATATCAATGATTTTGTTATTTTAAGACAAATTAGAAGTTGTTTTACATAATTTTCTTAAATTCGAAACTTTTTTAAAGGTTTTATTGAGCGATATGAGAGTTATCGGTGATTTTAAAGATAACTATATAGTTGCAATTATTTTTTCACAATTTAATACGATTTTGAATATATTATTTGAAATTTCGTTGAATATAATAATATTCTTGGTTTAATTAATATTAATAATTTCTTTTATTTAAGAGATGATTTTTTTTAAAGATGAAGTATTGTGTATAGGAATAACTGAAGAACCAAGAACGTATTCGCATATGAAGAGATTCGTGAAGTTAGAGAATAGTAGCTTAAGTTCTACTTGATTATTAATAAAATGAACAATTTATAAAAAGATTAGTACAATAAATACTATATAAACTAAATAAATAAATAAAAACAATATCCATCAGTGGTAAAATTAATAACAATGCGAATTCTTTTACCAAATTGCATGTCACTATTTATCAAATGAATATTTCAAGTGCTTTACGACTGACTTGAATTAAATTAACATAAATGTTAGATAATTATTTAATTGAATAAAACATAAGAAATAAAAAATAGGCGACAAATACAGAATTATTTAATAATTCATAGAAAGGCATGACATAGAAAAGGGACAATAAATATAGAATAAACTAGTTCCGGTTTAGGAAAGTTTAGAAAAGTTAACGTGTACATAAATTAATATCAACTTCTATGAATTCTAAGTTTAAACCAATTGAATTCACAACTTAGAAATCCATAAATAAATAAAGATGATTGATATTTCATAAATGACATTTTAAGTTTAATCACGGATTTTTGAACGGATTTGAAAGGAATTTTTAGGAATTACTTTACATCGAAAACTAAAGTTTAGGCAATGAAAAGAAAACACAAACAAAAGGATTTAATTGAATCACCCACTTGCTTCGAAGAGGATTCCGAAGAAAGAAATCATCTGCGAATTAGTAACAGTTATTCGCAGAATACCTGACGTAAAAGAAGGGGAAATTCGACAAGATATAGCGATACCACCAAAATTAAATCTGACAATAAACGAAAGAAGGTCACTATGGACAATTCGAGAAAAAAACAGACATCATCGTCTTACCAGCTGATACAACAAGAATTTATAGATTACCCATAAATTCCATAAACTGAATGTCCCATCATGCCCTATTGTCAGTGCTATAAATTGTCCAACATATCAGTTGCGAAATACAGAATCATATGTCAGAGATTTTACGCATATTCTGCAATCAATCAAAGTATAAAATTAGATTCCCAGTATATATGTAAGTTTCGTGTGAAAACTCTATTTATCAGAGTACTAATCAAAGATGCCGTGACTTCCACCATAATTAAGCTTGTCAGAATTCCAAGAAGAGTCGCACAAAAATGGCTAAGGAGCTGAGTATCAGCCGTGTATCTGTGCACAGAATCATTAAACATCGTTTAGGACTTCGTAGCAGCAGGGTGCAAAAGATTCACACTTTGACGGAACAGAACCAAAACGACAAAATTCTCACGCGAAGAATTCAGGAAGCGAAAGAGGGTGGTCGCTATGTTTTTTGAAAAGAATAATTGTTTTGTGGGGAAGGGGCTGAAGATCAACTCCCAGAACTACCTTGACAAGATTCTGATGAAGGAAATGTTTCCTTGGCGCTAGTCTCACTTCAACAGGCACCTGCGCATAAATTTAAGGTGGTTGAGCAATTTCCCAGCCATGATTTCTGTGTGGTCGGTCCTTGAAAGGCCGTGGCCTGTGCTACTCCCCACAAAAATCTCAACAGTCTGAAGCGAGTCCTTCAGAAGGCATAGGACGATCTTGACGTCGAGTATCTCTCAGCCACGGTGGCTGCGTTCACTTCGAACTATGATAGTTCATTATTTATTAATGTTTGAATAAACTTTATGCCAAATTTCATGTCTCTATGTGCTTTCGTTCTGTTTTTATCAACAGAAATACCGTGCTACCGGACTTTTGTGACATCCTGTACAAAAGGTGTTGCTCGACCAATGGCAATGGCAAAAAATTACTCGACGCTCCGAGCAGTTATAAATACTATCAGCAATCATATTAAATATTAGAGTAATAAAAGACGATTACTTCATAAATCAAATAAGTCCGAATTCAATTGCATCAAATAAGTGTCTCCACTTATTTAAAGTTAACCAGTATTTTTAGTATTCTAATTTGTATGTTGTTAAAAACAAATTTTATTTCAAAAATGACTTAATATAAAAACATTAATAGAAATGAATTTCTTGAAAAATTGCATTCAAATTTCGTCTATTTTGAATTTAGTTTCCTAATTGCATAGAACGATTTTTCAACTTTCAAGACGAAAAAATCACAAATAAGTCAGAGGGTGACACAATAAATAATAAACTGTTCCTGATACACCCTGATAAATTTCTATGATAACATACTCGTATATGAAAATAAATTTACTCAAAAACGCAATTAGCTGTGGTGACTAACATGCATTACCTTAAAATTCTAGATTTACATATCGTATCATTCTGATATACACTGTGTACATAAAGTAAGGAATGAAAACCTCCGTTTGATAAAAAATCGGGCGATATTCTTCAAGAAAAAAGGCTTGGACACCTATGTTATTTTCTTTAACGCATATATTTTGAGATAAATTTGAAATGTACAGGTGTTCCAAAATTGAGATACGATCCCTATGTTAACATTTTTAAACATGAACCCACATTTTTTCTAAGTATTTTTCATGTAGCACAACCTATGTCGATATTCAGCTGTTTTCGAAAAAATGACTGTTTAAAAAAATACTTTTATTTCAGGTAAAAGATAACATGGTTTTATCTTAACATTATCTATTTAATTAAATGCTGGAACTGAAAGCCAGTATCCTAAACCATTGGTAAATTCATGCTAGACAATAATAATTCTTTCTTTACTAAGTCGTCAAGTGACTCAAGTTTAGTTTTATAGATCCGTGGATCTTAGTGGCCATTCAATTGATCTATCTTTCTTCCAATCCATCTGTTAAGAACGTTAAGAACTGCATAATGTGATGGTGCACCATCTTGCATGAACCATAAATTTATGTCATGTAATAGCGGGCCATTACCACTGGTTAATGAATTTCTTAAATTGGGGATTCGACATTGTTGTAAGAAATCAAGATGTCTCTTCAAAAAAGTAAAGCCCATCTGGGATTTCCTTTAGTTCTTTATGTAGGTAAAATAAAGGCGCGACGTTCTGTCTAGAACGCACTATCTTTTCCGATTTGACGAAACCCCATTCCCTCTCTCGGCATGGCTTATTTCTGTTTCTTTTTAATTTATAATTCGCGTAAATCGCTCTAAAAAAATTAGAGAGACATTACATTGATAAATAGATAACGGGATTCGACAAATGCAAATATTTGACATATTAAAACCGCGTTAAAATCCATCTAACCGTTTTTATAGGGAATATCAAAAAATTAAAATATGCCTCATATTAAAAAAACATCATTCTACTACCTGCTAAAACTTGAAATTTGATTTTTCGTGGGATAGTTTTTTAGAAAAAAAAATTGCAAATTGGACGAAATTGCCGGCAACCTCAAAAATCGGGTACTTTCAATTTTCAAATTAACATATGTTACGTCGAAATGTTCAGTAATTACAACAAATTTTACCGCAATTTTTTTCATCAAGCGGTTACAAAGATGTCGATCTCTAAAGCGAATGGCCTTGACTTTTGGCACGGATAGTAGTCTATCAGCAACATTTGAGAACACGAGAAATGTGCCACTTCAGTTAATATAGTCAGTTCCTGTGAGGAATAGACCACTTAATTTGATGGCTTTATACCGGGTTAACCCCCGGTGATGCCTTACTTGAAATATTTAGATAACAATCTAACTATCTTGTAATAAGTTATGATACTAATTTCTTGATTATTAAATTCAATTTTTAATTTTGAGTTAATTAAATTTGTCCCATAAAAACATAACGAAATATGTGACCATTTCCACATACAGTAGTTAGTCCCTCTATTTCCGTGTATTTTTATACGCGTCTTCTCACCAGAAATTTTACATGTGATGTCACGACGTTTTGGCGTCATATTGACGCGTCTTTAAAACCAACGTGCTACTAGACATGTTGTAGTTAATTTGTGCTTGAATCTAAAAACCAATGCACGCTCCTGTTTCGATTATTTATAACAATAAATGGCATAACATGATTAAATATACTTTCTTTTAAGTAGAAACTTTATATGTATTTAAAAGTAATGACTTATAAATTACCTATCTTGATTTATAAATTTAGATAACCGAATATGACAGATTCTAAATGATCTATAGAAAAGTGTTATCACTTTTACAAAAATTTGCGATATTCGACAATCTAGATAAAAAAATGACTGCAACAGAAGTAGCTAGAAAAAGTAACATTAACGATTTTCTATAAAAACTGTACTTGAAAAAAAAGATAAAATTCAAAAAATTTTGAAGTTTTCAAAAGGTTGAAAACGCGTTGATTTTATGGATTGCGAATCAAACTTAAAAAAGAGCCACTCTAAGCTCTGTACTTATTAGAGACAAATCTATACAACCCTAATTGTCAAATATTGAGCTAAAACCATTTGTCGCAAATAGGGTTGGTTCACAATTTGAAGTTGATGGGATAGTCTGCTTCAGTCGATCATGAAGCAAAGTTGTATCTAAAATCCCCAAAGAGGATAATTCTGTTTTGTTCAAAAAATACAAATATAAAGTAACTTGTGTTTTCGAGGTCCAACAGTCTAGCTTGGATAACGAGAGATATTTTTATAGATTAGTAACAAAATTATTTTGTACCAGAAGTGGAATATTATCTAAAACGTATCAATATTGCATTTAAAGTTTTGATGTTGATAGACAATGCTACAGGTCATCCAGCTAACCGATTACAAAGCTTAAATAAAAACGTGAAGATTGAATTTTTGCCTCCTAACACAACTTCTCTTCTTCAGCCTTTACACAAAGGTATTATAGCTACATTCAAGGCGTATAATACCAGAACTTTCAAAAAGTTATTAGATAATTTGGGTAGCGATTAATTAAGGGTAGTTAAAATTTGATAGTGACCTAACTTTCCTGCGATGTTGACAGAATTATAATATTGCTGATTGTATAGAAAATCTGGCAAAGTGTTGTCACATCACAGAAGAATAATGAGAATTTGTAGAATGACATCCAGGCTGCAGTAGCTTTACACAGATATTGAATTGACAGAACAAGAGCTAGCACATTTAGTAACTGATGATAATCATGAAAATACCATTCTAGCTATGTTAACTCTCAAAACGGTTAATAACTGTTTAGAAATGGGAGAAAGAGTAACAGATATGTTGATAGAAAACCTGATATCTTAGCCCCTTACAAACTTTTGCAACAGAGGGTCTAAAATGAAACAAAACAGTGCAAATTAAAGACTTTTTAAAAACCTATTTTTTAACCATATAAAAATAGTGTATTCATTTTGTATCATTAATAAAATATGTATATAATAACTCAATCATTGGAATCGAACCGAAACCCCTTAATTCCATATATAGTACGACCGTAAAGTAGCGGATATAAAGTCATTGTAAACAGTTTAGGGAAAAAATCCTTAAAAGGGACCTAAAGCTTTAAATTTTTTGCTGTACATATTAAATTTTTTCCGCCAGTTTTAAACGGGTTACGTTATTGATATTTTTTTCAAATAGCAATCCCCCATTTTTATTACGGAATATGAAAGAGGATTTTTTCTGAATTCAGTATACTCAATATTAATATTGGTTACATAAAAAAAATTTCAAGATAAATTACTTTAAAGTTTTACTACTTCAAGTTTCCTTCACATGATAAAAATAGAAGTAGCCATGAGTAACTATGTAACACATTTATATTTAAATATACTTATGTATTAAATAGTAATATGAATGAGTAGTAGTTATATTGAAGTTTTACTGCAACTCAATTTACGCGGGATTTAAATGGAGGGACTATTATATATATTATCCCAAAGTTATCTGTAACCATCAGATCATGTTTTTGAAGTTTATGCCATTTCGACTTGTAAGGCTCTTACAATTCAAATCCGTGTAATGGATATTCTTTTTGAAATATTTATAGTGAGCCATTACTCTGGGACACCTGTATAACATTAAAGCAAACCATTATAACCTAAAATTGAAGTTAATATTGTTTTTATATTTTAAAATAAGTTCAATATTTAATATTTTGTTAAACCTAAAGATATCATAATGTTAAAAGGAATCTAACATTATGATGTGAATGCAACATTTTATTTATCTAATCTAACCTACAAATTACGATAACACTATTTTTTTTTTTTGAATTTATATAGAAAGATGTATAGTGTGTTTTTTAATGTATAATAAATATTGTATTTTAATAAGGGCTATTACTAATTAAAGCTATTTTCTTAATTGTAATGAAATCATCTCAAATGTGATAAATATTAAGCATACCTAAAACATAACCTCACTTTTTAATAATCTAGTGTAACCATTATTTTTAAAACCAACAATTGTTAAGAATATTTACGTAAACAAATAAAATGTTTTATTAAATAGTAAGTAAATGTTAAAGAATTTTTATTAACAAGAAAAGGTGAAAAATGAATTAATACTTGCTTTCTAACACAACAAAGATTCGCTGTAATTAACCTCAATATATTCTAACCTTATAATTACGTTAATTAATTACCACTAATTTTATTATTTACATAAAAATGTGGTTCCAATTAAATGTTATATGTCGAAAGTTCAAATTAATTTTTTTGATCAAAACAAACTCACTTTAGTAATATCACCAGTACCAACCTTTAACACAAAAAAAACTAGATAATCTAAAGGAACCACATTTTATTGTAAATCCCTTATAAGAATGATTTTGTACCTTTTTCATCTTTAAAATGAATGAATGAAGTAATAACTTACCTTCTGCAGGTGTCATAATAGCGTCGTGTAAAAGTGTGGCTACAGTTCCTGAGATACCTAAATAACCCACAAGAACATAACCTCAAAATCAAAAAAGAATTGTAATTTTCTTAAATAAATTTACCGTGGATGAACATGTGATGGTTTTTATTCGTCGTCATATGAGTTAATCGTTCTTTACAGTATTCATAACTGCTAAAATAGAGAGCATGTGAAGGTCCTGCCCCAACAACCATAACGTGAATTCCTCGTACAGGCCTCAGGAGCCCTTCATGTTTTACCATACGTAATAATGTATCAGATACTCCTAGCCGGACGTTCGTTGGGGCTAAAGATTGCATCCGCGTCTAAAAGAAACGATAACAGTTGTGATATAACCCAATAATGATGACATAACCTCGAAGTTATTTTTGACAGTTGTAAAAATGAATATTTTGGAAAAGGGGCTCTTACTTTAACGGAATCCAAAGGGTACATTATGCAATGTTCCATAACGCCCGCGATGGCACCGGCCGTCATGTGTGTAAAAACGTTACCGGTCGGTAGACTTTCATAATCGTCTATGTTCATAATAACTGGCGCGTTTTTTTTCTATTACTAATATTGTTCCTGGTTGTTATCGTCGTCGTCGTTTCCGTGTCGTTCGTCTTTTAAAAAATTTATTGTAACCCGTTTTTAATTAATTTTGTTGTTCTTATACTCTGTTAATCCACTGAGAATTTAGGGCACGTTCTCTCACTAAAACGGTGCGATTTACCGACGGCCGAAACGCGAATGAAAGAGAAACTGGACTTAACTAACCCCACTACTCGGATGTCATGCGGACGTCGTCGTCGCCGTCGCCGGTAACTAACTGAGAAAACGATAAGAGATTGTATTCGCGCCAGAAAGAAGCATCTCGACCAAAAAAAGGAAAATTTGGTAACATAACCTCAAACAGGTTAAGAAGCCAATTTTCGTTTTAATTTACATTAATTTAAAATGACAACTAAATTGGTTTAATAACAAGTAGCTTCAATTTTTATTTTTAATCAAACTTTTAGTATTTATAATAAATTTAGATAAATTAACAATCAATAATGAGAATCTAATTAAATTTATAATAAATAAATTATTATAATTATAATAATTTCACTATTTATTATTCAAATTTAAAATTTCCCTAGCATTAAATTTCCCTAAATCAAAAAGTTCCTAAATAAATTGACATTTCAAATATATAAAAAACATACTATAGTAATAAGTAACATCCATATTTCAATTAAAATTAGCAGAAGTTCTTTGTAATTAATTTTATTACCAAAAAGTCATATTTTTTTATATATTAAATAATAAATGATTATTTTAGTTTTAAATTCAAATTTTCACACCATTTTTAATCTTAAAATCCCTAAAACTTGACGTTTTAATCTGTCATCAAATTTGAAATAAACTTCAAAATTTTATGATTATTAATTAACTCATTATTCATTAACTCTTTAATATCAAATTTAATTTTTTCCTTTTATTCAAATTTGCAAATCTTTATGGTTTAATAAGCCTCCACTTAAGCTATTTTATTTACAATGACGTTCAGAAAAAAGGGTCCCTCATTTCACTTTATTTTATGATTTATATAACGTGATGAGATCGTAAGTCAACGTCTTGATGACGAAATACAAAGCAAAGGCAAATACGAAGGTTACACCACGTGATCATGCTCTAATAATAGAGTCTGCCGATATTCATGATGACAAATAAATTAAAAACACGCTATATGGGACATTTTTACCATTGATTTTATATTAAAATTATCACGTTTAAATAAACCGCTGTTGTTTGTTTACGAAAAAAAGTTGTTATTGAATTTGTTGGGTTTACTTTTGGTTTGTGGGGTTTGTCAAGTAGATAGATAACAAGCTGATGTTCCTTGTAACACGTTTTTAGATTAAATAATTATCTAATTTTTGAAGTTTTAGATACGCACTAAATAACTTTCTAATTGAGACATGCCGTTGAAATAGATTCATTTAATTCTCTACTATCAATTCTAACTGGTCTAAAGAAACGTTAATTCAATAAAGTTAAATTTGCAAATTTACTTGTTAACGAATTTAAAGTGAATTTTTACTTCTACAATAATACAGTTGAGTCAAGGTCGGAATTTAATGTTAATGAAGTAAAAAAGAATTGCATTCAACTTGTTTATCACAACTTGTTTATGGTTTAAAAACGTAAAATGTATCAATTTGGTGATTGGTGGAAGTTGTTTTGTACTAACCAATATTTGTTTCAAAATTATTAGTTTTCTATAAGGGTTGAAATAATATCATCTATTATACGTTTACTTAAGGAATGAGGTGAGGGTACTTGGTAATTATCAAAATAACTATGTTTTGGAGAGATCACAAATACAAGGTGTTTCTGTAAAGCTAGGTATCCATCTGAAAGTAACTACCGGAGTCCCCAGCAACTTTCGGAGAGTGAACAGGTTGAGATTTGTACTCAAATGAACACGGTTCGAATTTTGCTGCCAGTAGCTGCGAGTTTTCTCAATATAACACATTTAAAGATAACACCTAAAAGAAAATGGTGCCAAGAAGAAATATTTGAATTAATTGAAGTGTATGAAGAAAATTCAGTTCTTTGGAATACTAAATTTAAAGAATATAGAAATCGGGAAGCGAGAGGTGCAATTTTAACAAGTATTGGACAGAACTTTCAATGGGATTTGTACTATTGGTAATATCTAGTCTTCTGACAACATAATTTGGTCTTCTGAGAGTAAAATTAAGGCTTCTGCTAACAGTATTTGGTTTTTTAGTAGTAGTGTGTAGTCTTCTGTAAGAAAGATGTGCTTAATTTGCAATATCTAGTCTTTCATAAGCAATACTTAGTCTTCTGCCAGCAATATGTAGTCTTTTGCAGCAATATCTAGTCTTCTACCAACAGTATTTCGTCTTTTGGTAGTAGTGTGAAGTCTTCTAGTTGAATTTTATTTTCCATAGCATGGACATATTTTACTAGTGGGCACGGTCCTGAGAGAACTGTCTGACAATGAGAGAAAGCTAAAACAGTCTCAAGTGGACACACGGTTGAGAGTAGATATTGAGAGTTACTCTCAGAAGTTTCTCTCAAGTGGACACCTAGCTTAAGTCGTGGCATAATTTTAATTACAAATACTAGAGCAAAAATGATGACAAGTTGTGTAAAATTTTTTGGTCTAAACTAATAAATGGAGTTTTAGGAAACTTTAAGAAATTTTTAAACATTTTCTTTAATATATTCAATATTATTTGGCAATTCAGAGGCATGAATTTTCCACCATTGTAATATATCTGTGTCTTTATTACACCGAGGCATAGAATAGTATTTTTGAAGTTCCTGCATCCATTCTCTTTCCGAAGGCGTAGGATTTACTGCATACAAAACATCTGACAAATTCCGACTTTTCCGCTTTAAAATCTTGTCGTTCCTCAAATGCCGTTACTTTCGAACGTTGTCCTTCTGATTGTTGGGAATAGGCTTTGTATACATCTTTAAATTTCTGAATCGAAGTCTTTTAATTTTTGGCCCCATCTTGTCATATCAAAAACTTCTATCTTATGCCGCGAATCGAGAATTAAAACTGCACGTGGAAATATTTACCTGCGAGACTCTCGTACGAGACGCAAGAAACCATGAAACACTCTCGAAAACGAGACTCTCGTACGCATCACTATTTTTTATAACATTATGAATGTAGCAGCCACCTCGAAAAATATTTCTGCAACGATTAGCAGTTGAACTTGCAGAAACCGTCAAGAAATGGTAGGAACATCATCTTAACAATATTGACTTAATAGTTCCAATTTCAAAACTCTTTTATTATTCATATTATCAGCGTCTATTTTAAAATTAAAATTGTTGACGAAATAATCAGTTAATAACTGCAATGTTATCTTTAACTCCAGTCTTGTTTACATAAAATCCCAAATCAAATTATAAATTTGTTCATATTTTTTTAAATTGGCCAACGGAACTGAATTTATCTCCTTATTTGCTGGATTCCTTTATCGGCAGAAAAATGTTAGCAAATTTCGTGGACGTGTCAGAAGAGATTTTAACATTAAGCGAAAATATGGTTCGCATCGAAGTGAAGTCTGTGTTAGGACAGAACTACGAACTGGGACAGTTTTAAAATTAAATTAGATTCAAAATATAAAATCAGTTTGATTTACAAATAAGGCGATTTATTATAAATATCCAGACGGCTGTATGAAATAATACAGGAGTGTTGACAAGAAAATTTATTGGAGCTAATTACCGAACGGAAGTGAGAAACCTCTCAAAAAAAAAAAACGTTTCTTGAGACGACGAATGCAGCAGTCGCGTGATCTATCAAACAAAACCATCCTTAACAACTAAGTGAGATCAGAGATCCTATGCAAAAAGTAGAAGCTTTTGCCAAACATGTTGAAGATATGTTCAAATTACATAATCTACCAACTACTGATCTTTCAGTGAGCATCATTACAGAGAATGAGAGCATCAAGTTGGTATCATCGCACAAAGTGGCAAATGATACCCATACCAACCTGAATCCTAAGAAGGCTTTTATATATAATTTGATCACAGGCGAACTATTCAAACAACTCCCTCGAAAAGGCATCGTATTGTTATGCAACGCCGCAATTAGATCAACTGACAGACAAAGGCCGGATTGCTGTGATGCTGTCTAATCTGGCCGAACATTGCTTCTTATCATGTCGAAGGTATTTAAAAAGTTTTTGTTAAAGAGGTTGAAACCATTCATATATTAGAAGACAACTTTTTCCGGACCACCAGTTTGGATTTCGCAATCAACTTTATCATCAGGTTCCCAGATAAAATCTAGGAAGAAGAATCTTAGAAAGATTTTTACTGATGTAGATTAATGTTCAACTCTTGGAATCATAAATTCCTTGAAAGACATCAATGCAGGTGTTCCACAACGTAGCTTTTTGGGATCATCCTTGTACCTCCTTTACATATGTGACTTGTAATCTAACAACGTTACTTTCTATTGGATTAACACATGTCTCAAATGGAAGGAACACTTAAAGAAAAAACGCTTCAGAGTGCGAGAAGTGCTCTTGGAGCGACACTTCAAGATGTCTACTTAAAATAAATTAATTGTGTACAACCAGATTCTTAAACTGATCTAGATATAAGGTATTAAACTGAAGGAATGCGTAATCGATAACAATGGATAACAAGTGGTACGTGCAAAATGCGGATTTACATAAAAACTTATTTTTAAATATTTCTTTTAAACCCAACCCAAATGTTTATAGTTCTTGGTCTAGTGGTAGCTCTAGTGATAGTGTTAAGTTAATTCTAGTTTTAGTTGTTTTTAGTGCTAGGTTGTTGTATATTTTTGTTGCACTAAAAGCAGAACTAACACTAAACCTATAACTAGAAAATTTGGATAATAAATTTTAAATTTAATAACTTTTAACCAACGCCATCTTTTGTCCAACGATCGTTGTCCACTGCGTGTGACGGTATAAGCGAGTGTATTGGAAGGTTCAACAATTTGTTGGTACAGAAATCTATCGCATTTTATAATAATATAAGTGAACCTCCCAAAGATGGCGGTGAATGTATCAACTTTACCAACGTACTTATCCACTTTAAGCTAAAACTAGAACTAATACTAGATCTAGAACTAGAAACTTTCGGGTTAAACCGTGCGTCTTTTGAAAAAATTTAACATTTCGGATGCCATGTTGCAACCTTCTTCAGAAACACTTTAAGCTTAGATTAATTAACACCGACCGTACAAGCCTTCGTACTTGTATTTATCCAATATTCAAATAAATATGTTATTCAAATAATTGTTTTAATTGAATCTATATAAATTATAACTTAAAGCTATAATCTCGTTTAATTTGTTTACTTTAAGCTCAATGTTTATCATAATTTTAAATAACCTTTTATTAATTGTAAACTAAATTTAATAATCTTAATTAAATAAACTTCTATTAACCTTTATT